ATGGTAACCCCGCGGGGTGGGCGGCCCCAGGCGGGCAGCGGGGGCTTCGGGGGCACGGCTGAGGAGGGCAGGGGGGTGCTGCTGCTGCTTGAGCTCTCTGGCCGTTCCTCCGTGGCCTGAAGGGTGCAGGCGCCTTTGCGGATTGAACCGTGTTACTCGGAGAAGCAGAGTGGAGTGTGGGTGTCAGAGCTTGGTAAATCAATTACAGCTGAATTTGGGCACTTCTTCTAGTTCTTGACTGTAACAACAAAGTGGTTTTATTGTCTCGGTAGTGATTTCTGCTGCTTGTTTGCATTGTCCTTCAGTCTGAGCAGCACCGTCTTAAAAGATTGCAGCTCATACCAAGCCCTGGTTCGTGTTGATAGGTGCTGGAAGTGTGCTGCCTTGAAACCGTGTGGGACAATTTTCCTTGGAATAACTTTCCACTGACTAGAACTTTGGAGTAGCCACAGCCACGTGGCAAGTTTAATGGCAGATGAGTGCTGTCCCGTTTTAGGATCTTGTATTTGCTGGCTGCTCCTAAAGCCTTTTGTCACCAATAGGTATTTACATCATCAATCTGAAGAGGACCTGGGAAAAGCTCCTCCTGGCAGCCCGTGCCATTGTTGCCATTGAGAACCCAGCTGATGTGAGCGTCATTTCTTCTAGAAATACTGGACAGGTATGGATGTTTGTTGGTCATGAGGTCAGTGGTCTTGGGAGCAGAACCCTCTTGCCATGCATCATTGCCTGCTAGCGGCAGCTTGATGATAAAAGGGAATAACGTGAATTTTGGCTTTAGGAACACTTCTTTGGAAGCACGTTTCTTGTGATGCACTTGCAGCTTAAAACAGATCAGTTGAAACTCACCCCCCATTGGCATAATTTCAGGGCATTTGGTAACTTGATTTTCTTTCATGTCCTCCTTTGAGTATTTCCTGTTGGATTTCTGGCATGTTAGTGGTTAGTCCCCTGGTGCACCCCCCTGTAATTCTGTGAGTCAATGGTACTGCTTTTTGGGGTCAATAAGTGCCTGATACAAAAGTTTTTTCAAAGAAATAATTTGTTCTGTTATTGACAAATGTATAGTAACTAGTATATTTTTAATTTGGTCTCTAGATCTTCAGCAAAAAAAAAATCTGTCGTAGAAGGGGACACAACCGTTAAATAAGATCTAATTAGCCACTGGACTTTGTGAGCTTAGTTCCTTTGGACTGATGCAAGTGGTGCCACAGACGTTTGGGGAGATTGTGAATGACGTGGGGTGGATTTACAAAGGCGAGGCTTGGGTTCCTGTGGACTTGGCCTGCACACTGTTAAAGCTTGATGCTGAGGTCAGTTCCTGGCCGATGAGCTCTCAAGTGTCGGAAGTGTGCTACAGCAAACTGGATGGCAGGGTTTTCGCTAACGCCAGGAGAGGTGCTCCCTCTGTGATTGGAGTTTGATAGTAGGCCCTGCCACACGCCTGAGAAGTTGGAAGCTGTTGCAAGTGAGTTGAGAACTGCCATTTTAATGGACACAGCTACAGTTTGTGTATGTTTACTACTGAGCTTTTCCTGTAGTTCCTGAAGTGATGCTGCTGGATAATGAAAGGATGTAGAAATAATGGAAGAAAATTTGCTTTGCTTTTGTTAGAAGTTATTTTTTTATCCCCCCTTTAGTGATTTTATTGTGAGACTTTGGAACAGAGCTTGAAGATAACTTCAGGAGAATAAAAAGTTGTTTTTTCTGTATGCTGACTTCCTGCTTTGCTGGTGGATATGATCTTCTTAACTCCTGGTGTTGGTGTAGATATTTTCAGAAACATTTTTATTTTGTCTTGTTCTGACTGCAGAGCTGATGGTGACCCTGATTTCACAGGAACTGAAATGAATAGTTCAGTTAAGTTTTGTGCGTGTTCACTGACAGCATACCTGGGTGACCTGGTAGAAATGCAGTTCTCGTGCTTCACCTCTGCTGTGGTCCATTTTGCAGCGTGCGGTTCTGAAGTTTGCTGCTGCCACTGGGGCCACTCCTATTGCTGGGCGTTTCACCCCCGGTACCTTCACAAATCAGATCCAGGCGGCTTTCCGTGAGCCACGGCTGCTGGTTGTTACAGACCCCCGGGCTGATCATCAACCACTGACAGAGGCGTCTTACGTCAACATTCCCACCATTGCGCTGTGCAACACCGACTCCCCGCTGCGCTATGTGGACATTGCTATTCCCTGCAACAATAAGGTAATGGCTTTGCTGTAGCTTTCAGAGCCGCTTCCTCCAGAGCATGCCCTAGGTTGTGAGATGGATGCTTTCTGTGGGGGAGGGTTGGCTTGTATGGCCCCTGTCTCCCAGGATGGCGAGCTAATTAAGACCTCCCACAAGCTAGCAGGCGGGTCGGGAGGGGGAGAGAAGCTGCACACAGTTGGAGCTTGGAGCTGAGGCCAGTTTCTGGCCAAGGAACTCTCAAGTGTAGGACGTGTGCTATAGTAACCTGGCAGGATTTTTCGCTGACGCCATGAGGGTCGTTGTGGCCCAATGAGTGGAGTTTGCTAGTCATCCTTGCCACAATTTACGAATGTGAGTGAAAGATAAAGTGAACTGGTGAAGAAACTTCTCTGAAACATTACCTTGCCGGAAACTGCCTGAAAGTTAAAGTCTAGGGAGGTGGGGAACCAGCTTTGATCTCTGTCTAGATGTCATTCTCCAAAACTAATGTAAGCCAAATCTGAGCATATGTGTAAAATTTGCTCATTTGGTCAAGTTTTCTATTTGTTCATTCTAGCTTATGTGATGAGCATAATCCCTGTCCTTTGGACAAGATTCATGTGGGGCAGTGGGCAGGATGAAACTCTGTAGTAGGAAAATTGCTTCAGGCTGTGCTGTATACTGCAAATTCAGATGCTGGTGGTAGCAGTGTGCTGCGATTTCTGCGGAGAGCTGAAAGCGTCACTGGGAACTCGAAAAGCTGCCCTTTGAGTCCAAGTACAGAAGTCTGGACGTTAGCAAGTCGTGTCTTTCTCTTGCCAAGCAAGAACATTGGACTGGGTCCAAAGAAGTCTTTTGCTCTTTCAAAGAAAAAAGGTGTCTTGAAAGGCTTAGCTTTACAGCAAACCTTGCGTGCTTTCCTCTGTTGCAGGGAGCCCATTCGGTGGGTCTGATGTGGTGGATGCTGGCTCGCGAGGTCCTGCGCATGCGTGGCACCATCTCCCGTGAGCACCCGTGGGAAGTCATGCCTGATTTGTACTTCTACAGGGATCCCGAGGAGGTAGGAGGCCTGTGGCAGGTGGGGTGTCCCCATGAGGTGTCTTGCTTGTGCTCCTGCCCCATGGTCGTGTGTGCCTGCTGTTGAGGACGGGTTTTGCCAATACAGTAATTGCACTGCACACTTAAAGGTGGTTGGTTAATTGCATTGCCTGTTGTCTGCTACATGGTAGTGAGGAGAAGGAGGAGCAGGCTGCTGCTGAGAAAGCAGTGACGAAGGAGGAGTTCCAGACTGAGTGGACTGCCCCGGCTCCTGAGTTCACTGCTCCTCCTCAGCCCGAGGTTGCCGACTGGTCTGAGGGAGTGCAGGTCCCGTCTGTGCCCATCCAGCAGTTCCCCACAGGTCAGTTTGGGGGACATCAGTGGGAAGTGGGGGGGATGTCATCGTGGGTGGGAAGAGCTGGAGTGCCCTGACCATTGCTGTCTTTGCCCTTGCAGAGGACTGGAGTGCCCAGCCAGCCACTGAGGACTGGTCAGCAGCTCCCACGGCTCAGGCTACTGAGTGGGTTGGCACCACCACAGAGTGGTCGTAACTTCAGTCACGCTGTACTGCGAGAGAAATAAAGGCTGGTTTGGTACAGACCGTGCTCGGTACTGCTTTTTTAAGCTTGGCAGGTGGCGTGGGACGTGGGTGGGGTGGGACGCAGCCCTTGGCCAAGGGTGGGGAGAGTCTGCGAGCTGCTGGTCGGTGGAGTTGGGGATTGCGGGGCCCGTTTCCCGCCTTCCGTGGCTCCCCGTCCCCTGGTGACGTGGCAGTAGGAGGCCAGTGGCAGAGCGGCGAAGGAGGACA